TAAACTCTAGTTCATTTGTGGAAGGAGGAAAGGAGAAAATAGTGGTCTGAAAGTATGAAAATGAAGGAAGACCATAAGCTGGAAAATCTTCTGCCTTTTCCCTTCTCCTTGGCTGTCTGTGAAATCAGTGAATCTTCCTGAAGTTAAACACTTCAAATCTGTCTGAGAGCATTCTTCCCAGGAGAAGATCAGTTTTGCTTTGCAACCTCTGGGCAGCTGCTTTGCCAGTTCACCCACTTCCCTGCTGGGGAAATCCCAAGGTCGGCTGCACTTCTCTCACCTTGCTCACACCAGTTAATCACCAGAAGTCTTCATTTCCCCATGGAAGTTAAGATTACTTCATAGGTCAGGAACTGTAGCTTCTTTTCAGCTCCTTTTTAAGAGGTTGTTAAAGTATCTGTGCTACTCCAGTGGCCCAAAAATCTTCTCCTACCTTTAGGGAAGTGGAAAGGCAAATTTCCAACTTGTAACATGTACTGCTTTTAACAGCTTTCTGCATCAGAGGCAGCAGGCACCAGTATTGTAAAAGCACTTCTGCTCTTAGTGAGTGAGGATCATTTTGGCCTCCAGAAACAGCTGGAGGCTCAAACAACCTATTGAATAACATAGAGAGTCTGAAGGCCACTTATATGAACATTTATTCGATGCCGTTTGCTCCAGCAATGCTACCCGTTCACTGATCCCAGCAGAGACCTGGGAGCTTCACAATACTCCAGTCTCAAGCAGTAGGAGGTTTTTTTACTGGAACATTTCTTCCAGCTGATGTGGGCAGAAAGAGTAGTTTGTTTTTCCTCAAGATCAAAACTCGGAGACACGGAACGATTTGGTGCAAAGCTGTTCTGCTTGTGGACACACGGAGATTTGTCTTTTGGACATAGAATTTACTGACTTGCAGGTGAATTTCATGGGTTAAAGATGTGCAATGGTAAATCTGTGGGGATGTGAGAAGGCCTGGCGGTTCAACCCAACAAAGTAGCTCAAGATGGCAGTTACAATTTAGTGCTCTTAAACTCCACAGCATAAAATCTGAATACAATAATGATCCTTGAACAGAAACTGTCTCCCTCTTCAAAGGCTGTGATTTGCAGTGTGCTGTACTGGGGTAGAGCCTTCTCCAACCCCCCTTACATCTGCTCTTAAACCCGAGACCTCTTCGAGATCAGCAGGACCAGGGACTTGAGGGAGCAAGGAGTGGGGCAGGTTTTCAAGTGAGGGAAAACATAAGTGACTGGTCCCACCGCAAGCAACATAGACTGTGCCAGAGGATAATGTCACCCTTGTCATGGGAGCACGCTGTGACGAATGAGGGAAATAACATATTTTACGGTTCACTTTTTTATTGCCATGGGGTATGTCAAAACACTTCAATACTTCAGATACTTCACTAGCCCTTCATGCTTGTAGGTGTCTTCATTTTTGTGTTTATTTGTTTCAATATCTGTTCTCTTGGGGTGTGCATAGGGTGATAAAAATTTAAAGAGGGAAGAAAAGCTCATTGAATTATTGAATGAAGTGTGGAGCCTATTTCCCCCCAGTCCAGATTGATATTAAATTTTAAGCTGCCATGTAGGGATGATAGATTTCTTTATTTTTAGGAAGATTGAGGGGAAAAAATGTCTAGCAAATACTGTCAGTTTATGCTCTTAAAACTCTGGACTTTCTCTACAGTGAATGAGAAAGCAGGGAGTTCAAGACAGGTGCACACAATCTGTGTGAAATGACTGGGAAGTTGTTCAATAAACTATTGCTGTTCATCATGCCAAGAATTGGATGTATGTAATAACTCTCAGCTAAATGAGAAAAGACTGTGAAAATTATAGGACAGATGAAACTTCTTATCAGTTCTTCCTTTCTTAGAGGCTAGAGAATTTGGAGGGCACAAGTAGATGTAATTTAAGTAGAAGCTGAATTTGACTTGTGTCTTGCCACCTCCCAACAGATGCTTTGGAGTTTGCTCCCTTCCTTCTGCTCTTTTGACTATACAGTATAAAAGTTTTTCCCCCAAGTATAGTCCTTAGGTAGGAACTGCTCTCAGTGAGGATTAGAAGTTGGAATGGAAGGATAATATGTCTTTTCTCATTGGACCAATTAGGTGTCTGAAACAGGTGACATTCAGGAATGGTCTTGTGAAACCCATTCAGAAACATCATAAGCTCAACCAAAATACTCATGGAACTTCTTGGCATCCTGTGAGATAACATTTCCCCTTTATTTCACAAGTGTTTTTTTATAAAGGCACTGCAGCAGAGATGGAAGGAAAAGAAGGAAAGCTATGTTTGTTCTGTTAGAGAGGTGATTCTTACAGAAATAATTAAGCCAAGACCATGGATATGTACATAGACTGTTGTACCTGCTTCTGAATTTTAAAAAGTGCTGTAAAATGATGTGCCTCTACACACAGGCCTTTCTGGGTTCCCCATGTTTTGAATCCAATGATAGTGCTATGGCCTCTTGGGAATGCTAGACCGGTGCTGCAGAACAGAGGCTTAGTAAGGCAGTGTCATGTGTGGGTGAAAGCAGGCAGGACTGCCAAGTCATGGAGGAGTGTCTTTTAATGTCAATGGTTTTCCATTGGTCCCAGAAGGTTGTTTTGTTCATGCGAACCACCACCAAACTTATTGCTAACTATGCTTTTAAGAGTATGTTTCTCCAAACAGATCTTAGATGTATTTAATTTCTCATACTTTTAAGAAGACATGAGGACACCTTGTGAGTGCCTCTCTGTAAGGCCAGAAAGTGAATGGGAAGAGAACTGTTAACATTAGAGTATTGCTCACCGTTTGGATGCCATAACACATCATACCTTAAGGGATGGATTCAGATCTGCAGGCACTGACCTTTAGCCAGGGCAGAAAAGGGTAAGATTGCCTTAAGCACATCCTTTAGACAGAGCTTACAAGGAATTGAAAAATATATTGTTAAAAACAGTCCAGCAATGGTGAGCTGTGGTGCTTGTGAGGAACTCTTTTTCACTAGTGTTTTCAGCTACAACAGTGGTCCTGATCCGATCCTTCATTACTCTGCTCAGCTGGTCTAATGAGCCAGCTGCCTCCTTAGCACATGTTGGCACTGTGATGTAGCTTTGTTTAAAAGTTAGCCCAAGCTGTGCTCTTTGCTGCTGTGACCCATCAGCTTCAGGCAACTGAGTGAACTGAAGTTCATATAAACCTGCGTTTCAGGCTGCAATATGCAATCCATGCTCTTCTAAAGTCCTGACTTTGTTTTGAAGTCTACTAGTATCAGTCACCATCTAATGCTTTTATTAGTGCTAACCATGGCAGTTTTCTAATAGCTTGTTCTGCAATGAAGAATCACGTGGGCTACTTTTAGACTATGAAATCATATTTCCTTGTAATTATTCTAAAACTTATGAGCTTTTTGAGTGGCACTTCATTTTCCTATTATGAAACAGTGTAAAAGCAGTTTCTCAATACTACAGTAACCACTGACCTGCAACTCACAGCTTGGGTTTGTTTCAAAAAGCTTGGGAGAAGCTTGGCTGGGGAGGAGGTGACCATTGTGCCATAGGAGCTGTCAGTAATGATCAGGAAACACTGAGAGCTAGGAGATGCTCTCTGTAAAGTAGAAGATAATATTTTCCATGCAACTTTACAAATCCCATGCAGCAGCAACCATGGAGCCAGAGTGACAATTATTTTGATGTCTTATGACAAATGTATACAGTGTGCTAAGGAACTGGCAGAATATCAGTTTGCTAATTGTGGCCTCAAGTTGTGCAACAATACTTCTTTCACTAAGAATAAAAGAGGCTGCAAAGAAAATTGAAAAATGAAACTGTGCTTCAGGAAGCTCAGAGCTGTTTTTCCCGTTAAGGAGGGAGGTACATGACCTTCACTCCAAACAAATTGGGAAGTATGTTTTAAGGACTTGCTGTGGTCCTGTCAGTCTGCTGGACTGAAGGTGGATTTGACGCGCTATTGCCCTCTGAGTGGGATATACTGGGCAGGAGAATGGTGTTTGGAGTGTTCAAGTTCACCTCAAGACTGTGATTATTTCTAAGAGAAGTTACTTCCTCTGTGCTTTTCATTGCTGTGTCTCTTCTGCATGGGTGTATTCTCACGCTTTTAACTTTCATCTCTGCACCTCTGCTGTGGGGTAGTGTCCTCATTGCAAGGCAGGGGCTTGCTGCAGTTCTCACTGCAGACCTAATGCCACTGCACACTGAGCTTCCCTGGGATCCAGAGCTGATGCTAGTGAGATGGAAAGCAAAAGACTTAAATAACATCAAATATATTTAGGTTTCTCACTTTCTCTCTTAAAAGAGGGTGCAACACGGATAAGTATTTTACCCTGGATTTAACACTATCTCCTGTTCTGTTTTCTCGTCATCTTTAGAAAGAGTAGTAACTTATGAACATGTGCCACCTCAATGGAGCTTCACCTTTCTGTCTTCACTCTAAGAACAGAGTGAATTTGTAGGTCCATGGGGTAGTGCAAAAACACCTGCAGCAGTGCAGATATTTTTTTTCTGTCTCCTTATGTTGGAGGAATGACATATTTCCATATCTATATTTGTTTGGAGAGACATTCAAGCATGATTACCTAGAAAATGTCTGAAGCTGAAGATGGTGCTACTCCTGAACATTTCTTTCATCAGGCCAGGTCTGCCTTTCATTAATGGATAACCAAATCAAACAAAACTTCCCAGACTTTTAAGAGGTTGCTACAAACTGCACTGAGGTCACACTAGTCTACAAATCTGACTTTGTAATCAACAGTTTTACAGTAAGCTGATAAGGCATTTTTTTATTGTTGACTTCAAGTCATACAGATACCAAGAGTGTGATGATATGTTTTTTCTTTAAAAGGTTCAATTCATTTCTATTACAAGTTGAATTTTTATGACATAATTGCATTTTTAAGGCTGTTAATATGCTTCAGACACCCATTGGTTGAGATTTGCCAACAGGTTAAAATTTTTGTCTATGTTCAATGAAGGAATTAAACTAACAGGAAGAATCTATAGTTTGTTTTCTCAGTGGGCATTGTTGAAATCAGGAACTCAAGGTAAGGAAGAAGATAGATATAATACTTGTTCTCTTCTTGGTTTGTTGGTGAAGTAGTTGATTTAGCTGCGTTTGGTGTACCAGTCTTTTGGTGCTGATTATATGGTTGGTGTTGATTATATAAATTGATTGATTAGTGACTTTGTATTGTGAATCAGATTTACAGACTTTCAATATCAAAAAAGGTGTATTGGTTTAACATTGGCACAATTGTGAATGCTCTAGTTCTGAGTGCTTTTGTATTATCTGTCCGTTTGCTGTAGATGGAATTCTTCAGTATAGACAAGACTATTTTAATGCACTTCATCCTGCTGGGCATGGTGATTGAGAGCAGCCAGGGATGCTACTGTGAACATTATCCGTGGGGGCCGTGGTCCAGCTGTTCGCAAACCTGCAATTATGGTACACAGAGAAGGCATAGGTAGGGCCAAATTACCTCTCTATTTTTGTTTTGATATTTCTAATCGTCTTCTAAGAAAATATCACTTTTGGGAAAGAGCAACTGTCTCTGAAACAATTGTTTCCATAATATCCTGAAAGAGAAAACTGCCATATCCAAGTGTTTAACAGGTGAGTAGTTTTTTTTTTTTTTTTTCTTAATGGTAAGGCTTTAAAAAATGTCAGGGTAAGTATATAGTGTATTGCAGTGTCTCCAGATGAAACTATTTCTGCCACTGTACATAGTGAGGGGAGAACACCCTCATCCTGATTCAGTCTTGCCAGCAGCTAGTCCATGCGAGCAAACAGTGGTGGGTTTGACTTGGGAATCAGAGCCCCTTTCTAGGAGGTATGCCCAATACAGAGCAATGTCATGGGAAGTGTAAGCTACGGCACAGCAAGCTCACAGAAACCTACTCCCTGTAGGATTAGTTTTCAACAGTTACCGTCAACTGAGTGTTTAACATCACCAGACTAGATGCAACCCACTGCCATATTCTAAATGACCAGAATTCCCCTCTTTCCATCCTGGCTCTCTTTCTGTAGCCATCTTTGGGCTATTCAAGTGAGATGGATCAAAATCAAGTTTCTTGATCCATGAACTTTGAGTATACTTGGATTTTTCTTTCAGTCAACATTTCATAGCTATTATTACTCTAAGGGTTTTTCGATTGGGTTTGAATCATTATCGTTAGCTTTCACCCACAGTTAGAGAACGTCTATCTACAACCAGTCTATACTCCCTTTTTAGAGTAACTTTTTCAATTATCATTTTAGGCAAATAAGGACAGATGAATATTACATGCAAAACTTCTGTGATCGGCTATGCACAAAGGAGGAATCTCGTCCATGTAGCCAGCAGGCATGTCCTATCAACTGTCGGCTTGGAGACTTTGGCCCTTGGTCAGAATGTGACCCATGTGTTAAAAAGCAAGTAGGTTGAAAATTTATTATATGAGTGCAAGAATTATACTAAAGAGTTACCTTCATTAGAGACATTCAACTTTATGGAAATTGATCTGCAAAATGACAGTTTAAGTTAACAAGGAAAATTGGTTATAAATTATCATAACAGTAAGAGCTGGAGGGAACAAGTTAAAATAAGGAGATCAGAACAGAAAAGAGCAATTTAGTAACGTAAACCCATTTATGAGAACTTGCTTCAAAAGTGTTACTGTCATTATTATAAATGAGTTTTCCACATAGAGGATAAATTAAGCTATAGAGTTTGGATGTCTGTTTAAGTAGGAGAAAGTCACGGAATCTTTATGACTAATCTGCAGCATTTTTATACGTCCTAAAGACAAGAAAAGTAATAGGATCAAATCATCCATTGAAAAGAGTTAATGACAAATCTTAATTGGCACTGGCTAGGGGTGTTCAGGCTACATTTTACACTGATATTCAGGATCAGTTTCAGGCTGCCGTGAAGAAATCCTGAACACCATTTTCCTATCCTTTGTGTTCTGTGCAAAAGCCAAGTGGATGTGCTTAATATTTGTGGAATAAAACCCTTCTAGGATACAGTTTTTGTATTGTGCTTTCTCCTTCTGGGCTTTTATCTGTTGCTTGACAGGCAAGTTACTGTGGCAATGGCTAGTGGGTCTGCTGATAGCATGTTTAGTGTGTAAGGCCTTTTCTACCTGGATACCGTATCTGGAAGAGAACTGAAAGAAGTGAAAGAGCAGCTGCAAGTCAGTTCCACCTAAAGAAATCAAAAGATGGCATATATGAGACTGCAGGCTAATGGAGTGCAGGTTGCTTACAGTGGTTACACGACTGTTGAGTCTGTGTTAACCTGATGAGATCGTCTTCCTCTATCTGTGAAGGCACAATCTATGGCTCTCCCTTTGAATATCCATCGGGTATGTATCTTCATAAATCCACACATGATTACCTGTTAAGTACCACATCTTTAGACATATGATAGACTTATCTGTGATTCTGCCTGTGCAGGATGATTCCAGCACAGTGTAGAGAAGTCCATGAACAAGCTGTTAATTCTAGGTGTGAGATATGCTAACTGCTCTGTGGGTCCTGTTCTACAAGTGGGATGGAGAGCATGATAAGAGCAGAGTGGAGAAGACGGTAGACAAACTACAAGAGATGGAAGGGACTCATCTGAACTGAATTCTTTGTAGTTAATAGCCTCTCATTCAAGAGACATTTTTTTTTACCTGGGCATCTGTATATAAGAAATTTTTCCATTTTATTGACTTTAAATATTAATGCAGTGTGTTTGTTTTTTTTAAGCAAAAGTAAGTGTTCTTGTATCTCTCAGTCTGTTTTCCCTCCAAACTGTTGCTTGTGATCCTTACGAATACTAACAGTCATGAGAACAGAGGACATGATTTCCAAGAAAAACGCGAAGATCATTGTAAGTGAGCTCCTCATGAATGGGAGGAGATGAGCAGGTTGAAGCTCTGCACAAAGAATGTATTACATGTGTTAAGGGGCTCAAATGAGGTACCAGGAGATGCTGTTCTGAGTCCAAAAGTTCACAGATGGTCTTGTGTTTCTCCTTCACCTACACTTAATAGTCACCCAGAATTCACTTAACAGTTTTTCAGTTACGCTGGTTTTAGTAGAGTTCCTCTTGTATTTTTTGGCTTGAGGTCCATCTACAGGGAAACTGTTATGTGAGGGAGGAATTCGCCTTATAGAAGGAGCAGTTCAGCTTCATGAAGACAGATTTAACTGGTAAGGCCTTGAAGTAGGATGAAAATTCTGAGGTGATTTGTCTAGCAGCCTGCAACTTCATTTCACTCTTTGAAGGGACCTGAGGTGGGGGCAAGGGGAGGAGTGAGTGAGTTCCAGATTTTGCTTCCAGATTTTGAGAGACAACTTTTTTCAGGATTTTTTTTTTGCTTTGTCCCATCACCCAGTGCCCCTCAAATGAGGAGCCCCCATGTGTGGGGAGCTGGTGAAGCTGTGGGAGCCAGGCCAGCTGAATTAGGAACGGGAATACATGTTACTTGTCATAGTATTTCTATTTAACCTGTGATGCTAAAGAAAAATTTCACACAGGCTATTCACATATTTCCTACTCTGCACTTTAAAAAGAAGATAGAGAGGCTGTATCTTTGGTTCTTCATGTGATATAGCTCAGGCCATCAGAAGTTTAATTATCTGTACTCTGCCATATCTCTCGGATTTTAGCTCCCTTCCTACCTTGCCTGCAATGGAGACATGACATCACTTAAGGATACAAATAAGTCCTTATCGGTCGACCTGAAGGACGACTTCCTTCAGTCTATGGTTGCAACAGCTTTTCAGCAGCACTGAGGCACGTGACTCAGCCTTGGGCACCACTGAGGCTTCTTAGCTACAAAATACACACAAGTAACTCTCTTTTCTCTTTTCTCCTTCTGCTCAGTTTCGTGTCCGGTCACTGCTTAACCCATCACAGTTTGGGGGTCAGGCCTGCACTGAGCCACTAGTGGATTCCCGGCCATGCTTCCCAACTAAACTCTGCAAGATAGTGGAAGTCGATTGCAAGAATAAATTCCAGTGTGAAAGTGGTAATGAGAAACTTTGATACATAATTGTTATATTATTAGATAATCAAAAGATTAAAGATAGTGTTTGTTCATTGAGGCTCAGGTTATCTGGATCTTGTATATCTCATGCATAATCCTGAGGGAAAGGGGCAGAGAGAAAGTTTATTGGGCTTGAATTTCAGTCTGAGTCCAAACTGGCACTTTTTCTGTTAAATTTGTAAGTCCTCTTACAGAAAATTCTTGTTTCCTTCTATTTAAATATTCTTGATTAAATGCAAAATAGCCTCATTAACATATCTGTTTGCTAAAATTTAGTCATTTTAAAGTCATTTAAAGTAGACATGACACAATTGCTTCCTATTAGAACAATCAAGGCAGGATTTTGCCTTCCTGTTAATTCCTCAGACAAATTCACCTTTACTAGGGGAAGAGTACGATTTTTTGTTTTTCCGCCTTTATTCAGACAATGAGATTTTTCCATTCAGACAATGAGATTTTTCTCGCTGCCATTTTTCTGCAGGTCGTTGTATTGCAAAAAAGCTGGTATGCAATGGGGAAAATGACTGTGGGGACAATTCAGATGAAAGAAATTGTGGGAAGAAAAAGACAGTGTGTAACAGAAATTATGAGAGCATCCCAAGCGTGCATTTAATAGGCAGTGGGTAAGTAAGTTCTGTTTGTATTTTTTCATAGATTTGATAAAATTTTATCTCACTAACTTGCATAAATAGCATACTTCCCCATACTCATGTGGGGATTATCCCATTAAATTGGATAATCTCTCAAATTAGAACTAACAAGAGATTATAAGAATACAATTAATCAGGCTAGAACTTACCCACTCCACTTTCAGACTTAGCCTCCTTTCTGTACAGCTTTCTGTACTAGATGCAATAATAAAATACTGAAAGCTGCTGCACTGATGTGCAGAGGACCTTTACTGCCCTTGCAGCACCCGGTGTATCACATATCAGCAACTGTTAATTCAGTTATGCCAAAGATCTTCAAAAGTTCGGTTTATATTCATCTTAAGACGTTTAATTGTGCATGATCTGTGGTTTTTTTTCCCCATATCTTAATACCAACTACTATCTCTTCCAGAATACTAGTTTAAGTAGTTTAACATACAATGCAAGCCCCATGAGGTCTTGCATTTTTTTTGAATGACTTAATTGCATTCTGAACACATAATTGATGATATGAATGGAGAGCCACTCATTTTCCCAGGCCATTTTTCACATGTCTGCTTAAACAAAATGACTAGAGAATCTTATGCTAATATTGTGTCAGACTGTCTGAAGGGCAGTGATGGTAGTAAACAGATTGTCCCGATCCACTGTCACGGGAGGTTTCGATACGATTCCAAGAGTGAGATCAAGACACCAACGGGGTCAAATGCCATACAACCTTGTTAGCTTTTCCGTCACAAGCACAGTAGGACAGAGAGAGGAAGAAGAGAAAAAGAAAGATAAGCAAATGGGAGAGATGCAACAAGATTATAGTTATCACCAGGACCAACTAAGTCTTGTTGGCTTCACTTCGGTGCAGGTACAGGTGCCTTGGTGCAGGTGATGTTCTGCATACCTGGGGTGAGGAATACATGCTCCTTTTATGTCCCCCTTCTCAAAGAGCCCTCCCACTTTCTTGAAGCTTTCTGGTACGTGTTGTTCATATCGTACCTGCCGTGTACTCTGTTCCTCTTCACCCGATTCGAATGCAAGCTGCTCTGCTGGTTACTGCTGAGAATGTCATTTGTTCAGGTCTCGAGCTGATCTTCCCAGAGACAGCATGCTGACACCAAGTAGCTGATATTATAGTCTTCCCAGAGACTTCCCAGAGACTTCCCAGAGAGAAGGTGCTGGGGTTAAAAAGTATAAATGGTGAGAGATAATGTCTTTGTTTTGGGGCCTTGACCTGGTCTTCCCAGAGACGAGATATTGGGGCATTGTTCAGGTAAACGGTGTGTCGACAACGTCAAGACAAACACAATCCATAACAGTCTCTTACACAGCTTTACTACTACAGCTACAGCCTGGATATAGTGCTTTTTTTTTTTTTTTTTTTTTATTCAAAACAGGAGCTTTGCCTCATGTGCTCATATACTTTGTCGGTTCAAACTTGATGTATCTTCAGTGTAGTTACATAGCACTTAAATAATTCAGGTCTATCTTTCTTTCTGGGATCTTTTAGTCTTGAATGTTACTTTTCTCTTAGATTTCACGTTCTGGCAGGAGAGAGTCGAGGGGAGGTTCTTGGCAACTCATTCAATGGAGGACAATGCACAACAGTGAAGCGCAATGACACAAGGAAACTTTATCGTGTTCCTGCAAATTTGGAGGCTGTCAGCTTTCAGGTACTCTCAAGCAGTGATTCTTAGCTGGAAACCTCTTGTCATGATCAGTCCAAGTCATGTGCACAAGTCTTAAGCAGTGTTTTAGGACTGGTAAGACATGAATACATTTCAGGTAGTATGTGGAAATGGGGCAAATTGAACTGGGCTTGGTGATTCCACTCATCTCTTCTTCCCAGTTCATGTTTACTCACTGCAAATACACAGGAGTCAAAGCAGTTGATGTGGGCTTCTCTGTTGCTGCCCTGTGTCTCTGTGACCTATTGCCTAGGTCCTGGTCCTGTCCCCAAAGTAAAACAGCCAGCACCTCATTCAAATCTGAAGTTTGTTTCAACATCACTGTTGTGTTACCACCAGTTCTCCCAGCTCTCTTCTAGTTCAAAAGACAACTTAAGGAGCCTTCTTGGTTCCTCCTTAGCCTGGGGTTTCCTGCCCCAGACCCTTCAATCCTCAGTGAGTAGGGCAAGCAGATGCTGACTTGCAGGAAGGAGAAGAACATGGTCTGGCAAGGAGTGTTGCAGGATAGGCCAAGGGTTAAAAGTTCCTGGCTTCTGTCTTTCCCAAAAATCTTAGAATAACTGATTTTGATGATGACTCGAAAAAATAATTTAAATGTTATGGGCAGGGTTCAACATCTGGCAACACATATACTTCTAAGCCCTCACTGCAACAAATAGTGCATTGCAAGAGAAGAGATGCAGGACACAAAAAAAGGCTCAAGAAATGGAGGAAATCTCTGCTGTTGATTTTTGCCACCACTGCTGCAAGCTATTTTTTTTAGTATGAATTTAAAAAGAGCAACAGAAGGACACATTCATATAGTTCATATGGGAACTATAATTGATTTGTAACCTGTAGGTTTGGTGTCTGAAATTCAGAAATTACCATACTTAGAAATATTTACTGGCAGAAACACTTTAGTCTGCCCAAGTCTCTCCAAAGCTGCGTTGCTTAGGTTCTTGATTTTAGTCTGCAGAAAAACTTGTATCTCAGAAACTTATCAGAGCTCATCTCTATCTTTTAATATATAAAGTCATCTCTGGTATTTCTTCAGTGGGAATTTGCGCAAGCTCAATTGAGTTAATTCTGAGTTGATGCTAAAGTAGTTTGGGTGCCCACGCAGTGCACAACAGTGGCACTGAGGCTTACCAAGGGTACCAGGCTGGCTTACTCCCTCTTTTTCTCCATCTGTCCCTAGTCCTTCATGCAGTTGGGGTGCTCACACAGCAAATATGGCATAAGACTCCAGTCTGGATCAAATCTTTTCATTCCTTTAACAGGGGAATTGGAAAGAAAGGAGAGAAAACTCCAAGCTTTATGCCATGCACAATATAGAAGCTGTGGGACTGGGACTCACTCTTTAATGTGTCACAAATTCATCTTTTGTATTAAGAATGACTTCTTTAGCATATATTCGAGACACGCCATGTCTCAAATTTTCAGGCATGTTTCTCCTAGAAAAAAAGTCAAGAAGTCATCCTTTAATAGATTGGTTTGATTTGGATTATTATTTGGGCAAACACACTTTGCTTTACTGAATCTGCAGGTAATAGATGAAGAGGATGATGTAGCAACAGATTTCTACAATGATTTAACTCCTCTGAGTGACAGTGATGCTAGAAGTAGTTCGTCTACTCATCATGGCAAAAAATCTTCTGGAATTCCACTTTTATTCTCAAAAAAGCAAAGGATTAAAGTCACATCAACTTCCTCCTTCAAGAAAGCCATTGAAGCCTCATATGAAAAGGTAATTAAATGTTAACTCCAGTTTCTTCTTTTCCATTTCCATTGGCTTATTTCAGAGAACACTGCTCTTGATGTTGATGTTCATGGCATGAGACATATGTATGGATGTATGTTTGTTTTGAGCATTGTTATCACGAAATTCCAGAAACACTCTGTAAATAGCCAATAACACAGTAGTCAGGTGACCCAATCTGAACATTATTACTATGCTTTTCCCCCTTCCTGTCCTTCCTAAAACCTTGCCTGTTAAAAGCCTGACATGTAAACTGAATAACATGTAAATGTTATTCATGTAAACTTTTTTTTTTCTGCAGTGTTAGTTTTAGCACACTCCTAACTTGTGAGACTTGATGACAGTGAGCTAGTATTCAAACTCGCAGCTCCTAGTAAACAGTCTACTGATGACTATGCTTATATGTTGAACCCTTTCCTCCTGGCTTTTTGTCTTATTGCTGCTATATTTCTTGTGGCAGAAATTGTTTTGCTCTCTGTTTGGTCTTTATGGAATCTTAATTTTTGTTTCAATCTTACATACTCCCACAAGGCTTGTTTGCCCACAAGAAGCATTATCCTATAAAGACTAATAGGGCTATTGTTCTCTCAAGGGCTAGTTTGTGCTAGTTAACTGATGGTTAAAGCAGTGTGATATACAAGATTAACTAGTTCATACAGTATGGCTGTTAGAGGTGGGGAAAGCGGATCATACACTCAGCCCCTCTACTTTCTGCAGTTAACTACATATGAAAGTGCTTCCCCCTTCTCTTTTTTTTTTTTTGATTTCCAGAATTCCAACTTTATTCGAGTCCATAAAGTTATTTCTGTTGCGAACTTTACAATGAAACAGTCAAACTTGCAACTTTCAGACGTCTTCCTAAAAGCACTTAATCACCTACCCCTGGACTACAACTATGCTTTATACAGCAGAATATTTGATGACTTTGGCACTCATTATTACACTTCTGGGAGAATGGGTGGTTCCTATGACATTCTTTACCAGTACAGCTCAGAGGAGCTCAAAAACTCAGGTATGCAACCTTCAGCAAGAGGTCATGATTCACTTAGTGCCTTTTCCTAGGGTTTTGTTAAGACAAAATCACTGTCTATTTTCAGGCCTTACAATATGCAATAAGTTCTCCAAGTTAAAATTTTAAAATATCATTTAAGCTTAGAGGAATTACCACACTGCCCAAAGATAGCAAGAGTAAATTTGTTCCAGACTGTTTTATTTTCAAAAGTCCTGGAGGGTCCTTACTTGGTGAACATTGGCAAATTGAAGGATTATTGTCCTGGTGTGGAGTCCCTGTGAGATGTCCCCATGAGATGTGTTACAGACTTGATGGAGAGGTGGGGAAAGTGGCAAAGAAGTATAACTAGACCAGTGATCTGGGTCCTGCTGCCAAGGAAGGGTAGGATAGCAGTAGGATAGCCCTGGGAATTCAGCGTGGATGCTGACTGGGGCTTGGAAGAGCCAAACAGAGCTACTGGTCGGTGGCTGAATAATGCTGGGAGAGAGGGGAAGTGCCAAGGTTGAGGAGCAAACATACTCCTGTGGAAAATATTACGGGAGGCTTCTTAATATCTTCAGACTAAGTCCAAATGGAAAAGATATTCCAGGCAAACAAACACCACAGGAGGACTGAAGCCTGATAAGAGGTTTAAGTGGTGCCTTCTGAGCTGCAAGTCGTTAAAGCTGTTGGCATGGTTGGAAATGATTCTGAGACTAAGCCCATGACAGCCAGAATGTCAAAATGAAAACCAAATACTGCAAAAGTGGAAATCTGAGGTTGAAAGCAGTGATTCTTATGCTGTTGCTCTCATTAGTTTGGGTCTGAGAGGGTACATAAAGGGGTTGGTGATCAGGACTATCTAATGCTATTTACACTTAAGGAAATGGAAGCCTGCAGCAGTGAAGTCTCTTCTTAGAGCAGTTGGTGTCAGTGCTGCAGGAATGATTCTGACATAAAAGCTGATATAAACACACACACTTTTATTTATATATTTATGTACATATGCATATATACATACAGAGCATTTAGTATATAAATATATTAGTATTTCTGGAGTTTTTATATATGTTTAGAAGTATGCAATATATCTACATTTTTTTTATTACTTTTTTTAAAAAATCCAATATACTAAAATCCATCTTTACTACCCTGTGAGGGTGGAGCAGTCTTTTCTTCAGTCCCTTGCTGCAAGGCACAGTTTGCTATTAACTCGCTGCAGAGGTCAGAAAGAAAATAAAGGTGCAGTGAGTTCTGCAATGGCTTGTGTTGCTGTGGGGAGCCTGAGGGCCTGGTGCCATCTCATAATAAGTTTACAGTGATTCAGCTATTGCTTTGTGGTATTTCTAGGTCTGAGAGTGGATGAATCAACGGAGTGTGTCCGAACAGAAACCACTAGGCGTGTCTTTTTCAGAAAGAAAAAGAAAGTCAGTACGAGATGCACTACAAACAGGATGACTGTGAAACACGAAGGTGACTGTGGCGAGAATGAGACCCACCCTGGGTTGTGGGTCTCTGAGAGATGCCTTTCCCTCAGCTAGGTGCCCAGGGTAAAATCCTCATTTCGATGAAGTAAGGGTCCAGCTTCCAACAATTTTGGAGCAGGGAGGCACTATTTCAGTATTTCTGTCTATTTAAGCATCAGAAATATCTTCTCCCTGGCAAACAAAATGTGCTCTGGGAGAACTTCTCCTGTGCTCTAGAGATCCCCCTCTGCTTGTGCATGGAGGGCCTTAGGAAGCCACCATGCTGTGAGGGGATCCACAGTGGTGCTGTGTCCTCCTGGCAGCTCGAACTGCCCATTCCCTCCCCAGACCTCCCTGGCACAGCCCACGCTGGAGGTGGGCGATGGGCACAGCCTGCAGCGAGTGACAGAGCCCCAGTGCTCGCCAAGGACGGTGTGGGGCCGCAGTGTTGGTGTTGGGCATCATTAACCCAACCCTGCTCGTCCCCTGTTTCCTTCCCTGGGCCAAGCAGGAGCCCAGGTGCAGCAGACTCCCTGACAATGCCAAGAATGGGTCTCATTAGTTGCAGGAGGCTATTTTTCTCCAAGAATGGCACAAATCGTGTATTGTGCATCAACAAAAACAGGGATTTAATCACCTATGTTTAACCCTCATTTTATGATCAATCCCAGTTACTCACATGTATAAGACAGGGGCCAAAATTCCTCTCTGGTGCAGCATCCTACTTCTCATGGAGTTTATTGCATGCCTTGCATCTTTCAGATGCTCTAGGTAGATATCAGTATCTTTGTGGCTGAGGAGAAGGTGCACCTCTTTTCGGAAGACTGTGACAGACTGCTAAATATAAGTGGAGATGGTTTTTTGAATTTAGACTCTATTCTTTAGAAGCTGATTTTATGGAATTAAGCTTAATATATCCTTTAAATTCTCTTATTAAATTATCTTATTAAAAATCCTTTAATCCATTTTTATCTTCAGTGTGTGTATTGGAGGCCTTTTTCCGTTTGGCAGTTCTTCAATGAAATCCTCTTTCAGGCTCCATTCTGGAGTCAGCTGAGCAATCGATGTCTCTGGTAAAAGGCGGAAGGTCAGAATATGCTGCAGCTCTTGCATGGGAAAAAAAGGGGGCTTTTCCAGACCACACGATCTTCACAAACTGGCTGGAATCAACAAAGGACAATCCTGTGGTGGTTGACTTTGAGGTAAGAGAAGAGCAAAAAATATTGAGATAGTAGAGGACTCAACAGTTAGCTGCTCTCTAGAGAACCATTTGGATGTTTTCCGTGTTTTAAATCAGGATGGTACTAAATGTGATAATATGAATTACAAATGTACAGGCACAATATAAAACAGCATGCCAAATATTTCTTATAACTACATTTTATGCATCTCAGCTCACATCAGGCTTGCATCAAGAGGGAGGAATAATAATGAACTATTCTTGCACCAGTAGAACAGGAGCTCAGGTGTGGGCAGGGACTGGCTACTTTGCAGGAAAACATTGCACAGTAAATAAGAATATGTGTGTGTGTTTGGTTCTTGTTGTTTATTTTTTTTCTTTTTCTTTTTCTTCCTGCCCACTTACCCCTGTCAAGCCTACTTTAAAAGATTTGGCACAAATCTAAACTGAAATGAAACGGCAGTCCTATAGCATTGCTTCCTTCTTATTTATTGCAGCATGTGCCAGCACTGATGCAAGTGCTCTTGGCTGGCCAGCCTCGGGCTGGCTCTGCAGGGCCTTAATGACAGCAGCAAAGAGCTAACTGCAAAAACCTGCCCCAAAGCAGGCTTGCTGAGTCTTAAGCAAAGGAAATAGTATAAATGGGACAAGCTAGATGTACAGAGGTGTTGGGCTCATTTAAAGCATATCTAACTTTCTATATGGCAGTATTCCTGACTCATTTATGATACAGCTTATGTGTATGCTCCGGTGCCTTTAAAACTGGCCTAACAACTGGTGTCTCCCCCCATGGGAGGACATTGCTGGGTGAGTTATTCTTTACTGGATGCTTCTTCCAGGTGTCGCCCATCGTGGATTTGGTGAAGAATGTGCCATGTGCGGTGACCAGACGTCGCAACCTCCAGAGAGCCCTCCGGGAATACGCGGGCAGGTTCGACCCCTGCCAGTGCGCCCCGTGCCCCAACAACGGCCGGCCCGTGCTCTCGGGGACGGAGTGCCTCTGCCTGTGTCCTGCAGGCACCTACGGCAACAACTGTGAGAGGCGAACCCCAGACTACAACTCAGGTACTCGGGGTAGCACTGTCACCATGTAAACAGAGTTCTTCCGAGACAGATCGCGTGGTGGGCTGTGGTCCTCGAGTTTGCTGCTGTGGAAAGATGGCAAGTGTTGCTTTTCTAGAGCATTTGAAAATTAAATTATCTGTTTTTCTTTAGAACAAAAGTCTGAAATTTCATTAAAAAGGAAAACAGAATGATTACGACCCATACATTTTTTTTCTGTAATTAACCAATACATGAGTCTTTCTCTGCCATCTTATTTTTAAAACATAAGTTTCCAATATGTGTCAAAAATAATAATGTGGCAACATTTAGTACTGCATTTTGAACTATTGCATTTCAACCCATTTCTATTATACCAGGTCTCTGTTTCATTAGATATTCTGCAGTGATATCCTGATTTTACAAACTCTTAATCATTGGTGGACTTTAATACCAAACTCTTATTTCCGGAGCTGAGACTTCCTGACAATGTTAAATAAAGGGTTAGTACTAAAACACAGTCTGTTGCTGACCCTCTTATGTCACTTCGATCATGTGATTCATGGTGCTCAGACTAGTAGGATAAGTGCAACTCAAAAGCTGCTATGTATTGGATAACTGGGAGTTAGGCAGATATTAGTCTAAGCACTAGTATGTGCTTTTTTTGCTTTGTTTTGTTTCTTTGTAGTTTTTGTCCCCCTTTCTCCTCCTGCTTCCCTCTGGAGCCCTCAAGCTAACAAAGCTGTTTCAGCAAACCTACTTCGTCTCTAGCATTACCTGCCCTTGTGTGCCCTTCTAACTCTACTGGCTTCCTCACAGCTCTTTCTCACAGCTTGGCTGTTTCCTTGGGACCTGCACCAGGGTTGCATGGGCAGAGCAGGGGCTCAGGCCTCTGGGGTGGTGCAGCTGCAGGGTACGCACCGTGGGTCACAACCCTACAGAGCTCTAGGAGAAGTGATAACCTTGGTTTAATAGAGTAAAATAAATTTATCTGCTTTCAGCTTGGGCAACATAACACTTTTCCATTTTTCATATAACACTTTTCCATTTTTCATATAAGACTTTTCCATTTTTCATATATATTACTAGGTGAATTTATCTGCTTTTTTCTTAATCCCTGTGATGCTTATTAATAACTCTCCCACATCCCAGTGAATTTCTTTCAACACAGTCAGTTTTAATCTTCCGTTTAATGAACACCTTCCTCATTATTTTTACTAATCCTAATCTTCTTTTGCATAACAATACTAGTTTTGCAGAACTATATTTAAACTAGAACTCTTCTGGCTTAAAGAAATAACACAGGTAAGGCACAATGAAACTGTTTAAAATCATGATTCGCAAATAGGGACTTGTTTTTCAGCATCTCACAGTGTAAGAATACAAAACTTTCAAGAATACCAAGATGGCCAGTCCAAAACAAATGAGGAGTCACAACTCTTCACACACTATCATTACGTTGTGAAATTCCTCACTACAGAGTACTGCGCACATTAAAGGTGTGTGTGGTCTCAAAGATCAAATCAACAGAGAAGTCTATCAAGGTCTGTTAAAAACAAGGTCACTATCTAAGGTTCAGGAAGTCTCTGGCTCCACTGTTATGGAGTTTTGTAAGAGAACAAAGCCTTGCTGTATGACCTATCTATTCTTGCAAGCCTTCCTAGGTATCCTCATGGTCACCACCTTTGACAGCAGAATGGATCTACTCTTTATTTAACTTAATACGGCATTTTTATGTTCCTGTCACGAATTCCAAAGCACACAAGATATGTTTTATCCGTGTCATATCTTCTACTGAATATTCCCCAGCAATTTTGGCTATCAAAGATGAGTCTGGCCTACCCTTAAGAAAAACATGTCACCTCTTGTCCAAAAGTGTTAAATCAGAAAGCATAAGGATAAAGGCAGAAATAAAAAGAAATCAAACTGAGTAGTGTTGACTTGTAAAATAATTTATAAGATATGATAAAAGATTTCTTAGTTAGAAAAGAGAGAAAGAAATCAATGAGGTTGCATCTGAGATCAAAGATAACAGAGGTCAAATGAAAAGAAAGCTATGTCTTGATTTTTCACTATGGATTATTGTGGCAAGACAAAATGGCTAATGGCTATAAAAATTGATAATGAATTGGAAGGAAAACTCAATTCAGTATGTCTTAAAGAGACATATAATCAGTGTTCTGAATAATTTAAAGAACACTTAAAATTGCAACTGCAGTTTTTGGATGAAATTTGCCATAATACTATACATATGGAAAAGAAAAAAGTAGATCAGAATGGGAAGGAAGGAAAAATGATTCCGGGAAAATAAAGGCCACGCTTTCTGTCTGATAAAATATTTTGAAATAAATAACTGAAGATACAAAAATACGAGTGCAAAAACTGCATTGTGTGCAGAAAAGAAATATTGTGTAAATGTAAATTCTTATATAATGCTTCATGATTTCACAGAAAATGTACCTCAGGGATAAGACAGACAGTTGTATTCTAATTTAATTTGCATGGGAAGTAGATTTGGGTTTTAGACTGCTAGAGCTCCAGGAATTAATTTGATAGCGCAGTGTTTTGTGAGTTATCAAAAATGCCTGACAGCATAATGAAAACTGAGAACATCTATATCTGCAATAGAAGTAGAAAATAGGCTGCTTCTGGGTCTGAATGTGACTTACAGCTGAAACTGAAAAGGAAGTCAAATTTGGGCCCTCCTAAAGCAGTTTGAATTTGTCTGACCCTCTCTTTGAAAAACTTTACACTCTAGATGCATTCTACTGCCTTAACAGTTGCATTTCTTCAAAATCCTCTGTAAACTTTTTCCCATCTGCTCCTCTTGAATATGGAACAAGAAAAATACAATGAAAGGTGGAGATTTAGTAAAACATGAATTTCTTTTATTCCTTTCAGTTGCTGTAGACGGCCGCTGGGGCTGCTGGTCTGAATGGAGCTCATGTGATGCTTCCTTTAAGAAAAGAAGGACTCGAAAGTGCAATAACCCTGCCCCTATGAATGGAGGGAAGCCCTGTGAGGGTGAGCAGGAAGAGGAGGAGGACTGTTATGTCTCTTTGTTCACAGACAGGTAAGAAGATAGTAGATGTAAACATCTCCATGTTTGTGACGTAGTCAAAATGACCTCTAGAGAGACTTTGTGATGAAAAAAGTGCAGGCAGAGAGAACTCTCTTTCTTGAGCTTTTGTCATCTTTACACAGGTTAAATTTTTCTGTTATAACTGAGAACAGAAGTTGGTAAGACAGAATTTTCCTCATCTTTGCTCTCAAGACTAGTGGAAATTGATTTCAGGAGTGTCTGAAAAACAGTGGACTCTGTGGTCCCCTGCAGTTCTTTCTTGATTAGATGCCACAGGTTCTACAGCTCCACATTCATAGAAATCAGCCACCTTTAACCATTGCCTGACAGCAACAGCAGGGTTTTGACTATGTTCCTTAAAACCCAACCAAAATTATGGACCCTCATTACTGATCAAAACACTTGGACACTGTCACTGCTTAGACAGTTCTTCATAACCTTTTTTTTCCTAAACTGATATGAAAATTCTTCATAAAGCATGTCAATAAAATTGTGGCTCTACATCATTTTTTTCTAAATATTACTGTTTCTATCACTTTTTTCAGTGTTGTACCAACACTTACTAGTTCTGACTTTTTCCATCTTCCTTTACATCTTTAAATCTTTAAATAAAATTTAAGATTTTTTTGTGTGTTTGTGTTTTAGCTACTTTTTAAGCAGGTAGAAAATTCTCATCATTAGAGAATCACAGAATGGTTGAGTCTGGAAGAGACCTCTAGTGATCATCTAGTCCAAGCCCCCTGTTCAAGCACAGACACCTAGAGCACATTGCACAGGGAAATATCTTACCTTACTGTGTTAAGCTTTTAAATTTCTACCCTTGTCTAAGTTTGGTGATACCACTCTTTAATATATATCCTCAAGAGAAAATTCTTGCTTTTCAGAGGGGCTCCTTGTATAAATGATGATGAAGCAAGAAGAGAAGATGAGATCTTGATTGGTGAGCCTGAGTCTGGATGCTTCAGGCCAGACCCACCAGAAAATGGCTTTATCAGGGTGAGCATGAAAAATGGGTGAGTGATATAGAAGAATAGTGTATAGGAGAGTTGAAGAGATGGAAATTTTAGTTCCATCTATTCTAGATGGATCATTTCCTTGTATTAAGTAGAAATGTCTTTTTAGATAATTAGAAGGCCACATATCATGTTAATCTTCAGTAATAATTACTCTCTAAATCTAGGATATTATTGTATTAAACTTTTCACTACATTGATTGAAATTTTATTTTTCATTATATTCAATCATTTTTCTCCTTTAAAATCATTCTGAATGTGATTTGCTTTTACCACTTTTTTTTTTTTGCTTTTTTTGTAGAATGAAAAGAACCAGTATGCTGTGGGGGAGGAAGCTGAAATTGCCTGCATGACTGGTCACGTCCTCAGTGGTTATCAGTACCTTAGGTGTCTGCCAGATCAAACCTGGACACAGCAA